AAGAAAAACACATACGATACAAAACTAAATGTAATGGTAAGTATCTTTTAAACTACAGATAGTAAATAACACATTTATCTAGAAAAATCATTTGTTAAGAAATAAGTTCCAATTTGATGAAGATACATGCATAAGCAAATTTCTAATATGATAATCAATGCGCAAGTCTTCTCATGGTAGAATTTACTAGCTGATTTTTATTTTTATTATGTATTGACTATTGAATTCCTATACCACCTTATCTATTCACACACCAAAAAGAGTCCTCTACAGCAGCACAAGCACCATTGAGATAGAACCAAACTACGAAAGAACAGTTCAATACCCAGGTGCCAAAAGGTATCACCAAATACCCACATCTGTCTATGAAAATCAGATCCTAACACTAACATAACACTTATACTAACATAACATGCAGGACATGTGGAAAAGGAGACCCAACATAGAGTTAACAAAAGAAAGATTGCTCCTAAGACCTTGCCCTCATGCTACAAGAGCGAGCCAACCGAAATGTCAAGCTTCCTCCAAGGAGACTAGGCTCTGCCTCCACGGGATCTTGCTCATATGGCTTCCTGCAAGCAGGGCAGCGTCCATCCTCCTCAAGAATCCTCTTATGGCAGAAAAGACAGAGACGGAACCCACACAAACAAGGCAAAAAACTTGAGTCCGTCAAATCCAAATCCTCGAAGCATATAGGACAAGATGATGGACTGGCCCAGTGGACCCCTCCCTGACCAAAATGACGATCTGTTGCCGGAAAACTATGTTGCTTTGACAAATTAGGCAGACTCTGGGGCCGAAAAGCATCATCAGGCCTCCACGCCCTGGTGTTCCCTATAGCTCTTGGCGCCGCCCTCGTGCTCTCTTGCTTTGAATTCTCAACACCCGACCCCAACCCATTTTTCATTCCACCAGATTGAGAAATAGGCTCAGGCCCAGCGGTCGATCCCAAACATGGGTTTCCATTCTGTTCAGTCTCTTGCTTCTCATCGGCAGCCAATGCATCCGCAATTGCCTCCCAATTATCCAAGGTATCGTCATCGCCTCCTTCGTCCTCCTCCGTAATGCTACCAGAACAACATCCTCCACTGCTGCTGCTACTGCTGCTATTAGTGAAATTCGTTCCACAATCCTTAGCTCCTAAAAGGATGCTGGTGGGACTGTTCGACGGGGACTCCGGATCGCTCTCATGTTGGATCGATCTGCCTCCATCTTCCTCCTCCCTTCTCCTCACCTCCAAATTCTCCATCGAACGATTCCCCCCACCACACATTTGCTTCGACTTCCCATCTACATCCTCCTTGGAAACCTTATTCTTCACCGCACCTAATAAACCCCCAACAAAATCCACATCAAAAAACCCAAAAAAAAAAAAAAAAAGGGCAAAAAATTAGAAAACAGAAGAATTAAAAACCAGTAACAGAGAGATTAATTCAATTACATTGAGAAAGCCATTGCTCGCGGCGGGCATCCAACTTGCACTGTTTCAATTTGGCAGACCTCTATATAAAAAAAAAAAAATCCAAAAAAGAAAAAATCAAACGGAGAACATCAATTAATCACAAAAACAACACATATACATACCCTCTTCTTCCTCGATATATCCCGACAGTGAGCGGCCGCCAGCGGCGGCGGCGAAGGAGAGGAAGAAACGGTGTTGATCAACTCAGAATCCATGGCGGAAAATGAATTCGAAGGATTGCAGAAACCCTAATTTGGTTTTTTTTTTTTTTTTTAGGTGGTGGTAGAGAAAGAGAGGCGTATATGCGTTTTAGCCGTTTTAGAGAGAGAGTGTGAACCAAAAGAGAGAAATGGATAACAGAAACTGCTCCGTTCCGCTCCGGTCGCCCTCTGATTTCGCAGACTATCCTCAACGGGGGCCAGGGGGGGCATATATATAGTACATTAAGTTACGAAACTACCCCTAAATCTTTTGCTTATTTACGATTTTACCTAAGGAAACTAACTCTAGTTCCGATGGAAAACTGGGGGCTGTGGGATGAGGTCATCATTGTCCAAGTGGAAAATATTGTTAACTGGAAACGACGTCGGGTTGTGATTAAACGTTGTCGTTTTTGTTTTATGGGTCTAATATCTTCTATGGTTGGTGCCCACTGCCCAGGAACAGAAGGGCCTTTAGGAGGATGATATTTTTTTTCTCTTTGAGAAAATTAGGGGATGATATTAATGTTTAATTTATCACTATTTTTTTAATTTTGGCAAATGGCATTAATTAGGAGTGCTGTATTAATTAGGAGAATTTATGATAAGAAAAGGTGTATTAATTATACTTACAA